CAGTCAGAATAGCCTTATATGGCAAGACTATAAGGCCAGGAGATCACATGGTTTAACGATTAGAACAAAACAACTGGGGAGTTCAGATCAGTGTATCTAAACTTGGCTGACTTACCACGGGTGAAATTTGCTCCTGTGCAGAGCGCCAGCATAAGGCCCATGCACCATTTAAGTCCCACTTAAGTCTTCAGAATAGGTCCTACATAGCATTTAAGTGGTGCTTTTCATTGGCCGACTTCACAGAAGGGAATTTCTCCCTGGGTGAACTCAAATATTTTACTCTGGAATGAATCTTTCTCTGACTCCTCTTTATGATTTCTGTCGCTCACGCTGAGCGAGCACTCTCATAATTTCTCTTTGGGCAGTTGCCTCCAGACTTGGGACTGACAGAGCAGCTCCTATATCATACATTTTTTCTGGGTTATTTGTTGATATCTGTTTATTTTAAGCCAAAATTGCTGACTGTGTCTATCAAACTGTCTTTTCTACACCTTCTTCTCTCAGCTTCTTCCCTCTTTAAGATGGTACTCATGGACAGATGACTGTGACAATGTGACCTCCTGCCTCCCTCCACGCCCCTGGAAAAATGGAATAATTACTTTACAGCTTAGGCATTTCATTTATTACTATAAAGAGCCTCTGTTACAGGGCAGTACATTTATTTTTTGTACATGCTGCTACTTCAGTTACTTTTTCGTACTCTATAAATTTGCTCCCTCCATAACCTCTTCCATACTTCAGTGCCATAGAACAACTGATAGTATTCATTGCCATCCCTCAGAAATAGCTTCTTCTTTGGGGCACTTAAACTGTTACTTCTTATGATCTGTCTACATTAGGGGATTTTTGCACTAGTGTAGTGCAAAAATCCCTAATGGAGACAGGCCAGTAGACTCATAGTTGAACAGAGCTCTGAGAAGAAATTATTTTTTTTTGGTCTGTTGGCAACCCGCCCATTCCCCTCCCTCCCCAAATCATTTTGGATTGACTCAACAGGAAAACATGTCAAAATTTCCAACAAATCGAAAAGTCAAGAACATTTTTGTTTCAGATCAAATTAAATGTTTTGTTTGACCCTTTGAGTCTGAGCTTTGACTTTAAAAAAAACCTGAAAGAAATTAAGAAACAAAAAAATCATCATTGTTTTGATTTTTCTCATAATCTTATTTTATCATTTTTAGATTTTTTTAAATGTTTCAGCAGCCCTGAGTCTGAATTTTTCACCAAAAAAAGTGTCAGCTGAAAAAATTCACCCAGCTCTACTGTTGAAGACTCAGGATGAAATCCTGACTCAGCTGAAGTCAATATAAACCCCCTTGTTTATCCAATCATGTAAGATGGGACAAAGGCACCGAGGGGCAGACTTTAAGTCTTTGAGCCTTCAATGCCATTTTAAGGACCTGTCTACATTAGAGATATTTGTTCTTCAGTTACAACACGAATCTCTACTACAGATAGACCATAAGTGGAAACAGTTTAAGTGTTCCAAGGTAGCAACTCTTTGTGAGGAACAGCACCGAACAATACCAGTTGTTCTATGTCACAGCAGAGGAATTACAAAATAACATCTCCAACCTTACCAGGGAATACTAGAAGGGCAACACAAAATGTCCTTTTTCAAGCAAACAATAGATTGACAAGAACACATGCATGCTTGATGTTGGATGAAAGAAGCCCATACTATAGAAAGTGTTCATCCCGTAAAACAATAAATCCCACAATCTTGCCTGGGTCATTTTCAGCTTTTGTTATTAGCTTGTTTAAGGTCAAAAGAAGGATCAGGTGAAATTCATAAAGAAATTTCATTTTTCTGCCTCTGAAAATCACCTTTTGTTTCTGCCAAAATATTAGAGACGAATGTAATCACGGTGTTTCACTGATGGCAAGAATTTCTCTCATAGCTTTAGCTAGAACCCACTAGAAACTCCGCGCAACGCACTAGTAGATTAAAATCTTAATTTAGAACCTTTCCCTATACAGTGCTCAAATTCTACTTCTGCCCACAGGTTCAAACATTAACATTTGAAAACATCAGAAATATTCTGCTCTGACTCCAGACTGAGGTCAACACACTTTCAAAATTAGAAAAATTCTCTACATTTTCTTCTTGTTATCACCACATAACTGAGATCCCTAATCAGTTCTCTTGAGATAATACCACTATCAAGGTTTTCCCTTATTGTTTGTTATCAGTTAAGCCCACCAAAGGACATGCAACAAAGAAGAAAACACTGGGTAGCAAAAGGCTATGGCAGCAGTATTAGGGATGTAAGTGTTATGGTCAGTTGTCTGTGATGTTGCTGATAGAAGAAAGACTGGGAGCAGATCTATTTTGAAAGTTATTGACTTTGTATTTCATATCAAGAACTAGAGATTTTGTAAAGTTGTTTTTGAAGGCAAGCTGCACCACAGGTGTCATAAATATAAAGGGAAGTGTAACCACCTTTCTGTATACAGAACTATAAAATCCCTCCCGGTCAGAGGCAAAACCCTTTCACCTGTAAAGGGTTAAGAAGCTAAGATAACCTTGCTGGCACCTGACCAAAATGACCAATGAGGAGACAAGTTACTTTCAAAGCTGGGGGGGGGGAACAAAGGGTCTGTCTGTTTGTGTGATGCTTTTGCCGGGAACTGAACAGGAATGGAGTATTAGAACTTGTTAGTAAGTAATCTAGTTAGAAATGCGTTAGAATTCCTTTTGTTTAAATGGCTGGTAAATAAGCTGTGCTGAATGGAATGTATATTCCTGTTTTTGTGTCTTTTTGTAACTGAAGGTTTTGCCTAGATGGATTCTCTATGTTTTGAATCTGATTACCTGTAAGGTATTTACCATCCTGATTTTACAGAGGTGATTCTTTTACTTTAATTAAAATTCTTCTTTTAAGAACCTGATTGCTTTTTCATTGTTCTTAAGATCCAAGGGTTTGGGTCTGTGTTCACCTATGCAAATTGGTGAGGATTTTTATCAAGCCTTCTCTAGGAAAGGGGGTGTAGGGCTTGGGGGGATATTTTGGGGGGAAGACGTCTCCAAGTGGGCTCTTTCCCTGTTCTTTGTTTAACACGCTTGGTGGTAGCAGCATAGGATTCAAGGACAAGGCAAAGTTTGTACCTTGAGGAAATTTTAACTTAAGCTGGTAAGAATAAGCTTAGGGGGTCTTTCATGCAGTTTCCCACAACTGTACCCTAGAGTTCTGAGTGGGGAAGGAACCTTGACAACAGGTATGGTATATATGCTGAGTAAGGTAATTTACCACACATTTCCTTGCAAATGGCAATAATATCAGCATTAACTGAGTTATATTAATGGGATAAGTAGTCTTTGTGACTTTGAGAAATGATTGAAAGTACAATATTTATGTGACAAAAACTCTTGAACAACAAACATGTCTGAGTCTCGCTGCTGAAGAGAAACTCCACAAAGACATATATAAAAAAACTCATTCTAAAGAATATTAGAAAGGGCTATTTACTTGAAATTTATGTTAGGTTATAAATTTGAGGGAAAAAGTCTACCTTTTTAATGTAACTTAATTGAAATGAATATTAGTTGTTCCTTTTCCAAATAAAAATAGAGCAGGGTGAAGGGTTTGTACCTCCAATAATATATTCAAGTTCATATAGTCTCTGTTACTTTACACCCCTGGACTGGACAAAACTACCCAATGACAGAAGAGTTAAAAAAAGGCTCAAAGTTGGCTAAATAGGAAACATTTTATTCACTTAGTCCCTGAACCTCCAGAGACTCACACACATGCTTAATTTTACACACTGTGAGTTGTCCCACTAAAGTCAAGAAAGACTTCCATTGACTTCAGTAGGCTTTGGATCAGACCCAAAAGACATCAAGCCTCCAGTCCTGCATTCATATCACACCCAAATGCCCACTGAATTCAAAATACTGAATTACTGGTGATTTATACCTGATTTATGCTTTTTTTTAAACAACTAGATGAAGGGATTATACATTTTTCATTTTTCTTTCAGAAGGGATAAAGAATAACACACACACAAATCAGGAAAAACCAGAAATCCTAATTATTTTAGCAAACTTTTGAATGTTTTTTAAAATGTCACATGTCTGATAGGTGTGATGCACAGCAGTTCTTCACCAGGAATCAAAAAGTAACAGAAAGCAACATAATCACTGCAGACGGATTTGCAGACTTCTATCTCACAAACTTAATGGAAACATTTGTAAAGATTTCTTCACTTAGTGATTGAAAACATTAGTTCTGCTACTCTGTACTTATGTAAAAGCACAATTCTATTTAATCCATAGTAAAGTCAAGTACTGAAAATCCATACAGTATAAAATCAGGTTTCTACTGTATTTTCAAAGTTCTTGGGAGTAAGCCTGCAAACTGTATAAAACTGGGATTTGGCTAATTTGAGTCCCCTCTATTAAAGGTAAGCATCAATCATTCAGAGGTCCTGTTGCTAATGTACTTAACTTTAAACTTGTGAGTAATCCCACTGAACTCACTGGCATCAGTGAGACTGCTCATGTATTGAAAGTTAAGCACATGCTTAAGAGATCTGTTGGATTGGGGTGAGGAACCCTAGAAAAGATCTTAGATGCTCCACAGAACCAAGAAGTTGCTCCTGTGGAGCATTAGTTAGGGCAACTGCTGGGAAGCTAATCCACCTTGGCTAACTTGAAATGCCAGATAATCAGAGTTCAGGAATTGGTGCTGCACTGGATTGGTGTTATTATATATTAAATAGAGAGGATTTTAATGACATAGGTTCTAGGCCAAATCAGTATTACACTATTGAATTCAGTGAGTCCATATTGGTGTAACAAAGAGCATAATTAAGCATCCTGCATCTAAATGATGTGTAAGGCATTTCAGATTGTGTTTATTATGTCAAATAAAATGTTTGCCAAATTCTGACCACAGGAGAAAGGGTTAATTTAAAAGCAGTGTTCCAATGTCTGGAGAGCTGGGTGATTAGAAACAGCCACATAAAATTGACAAATATAACATATGTATTCTTACCCTTCGGTCCGGAAAATAGTCCTAAAACTGTCCCCCAAGCTCTTGTAACTGGTTGGATCAGTTTTCCCTCTTTGAATTTGGAACCTAAAAAATACAATTTATAACAGCATGTGAAGTTAAGGATTTTAAAAGCCACTTTCAGCTTTCCAATTTCTATATAAAAGGGATTTTAAGGTTTATTGATATATCTTATTCATTATTATAGACTGTTCCTGATATATATTCTTATTAACGCTACTTTCATAGGAGTTATTAAACAAAGGAGAAATACAGTTTTAAAAGTAACTTTTTAGTAGTTCATAGTATTCAGATAGCCAACACTTTTACAATTTACACCTCTTTCTTGTTGTGTAAAAAATAAACTGCTAATCATGGACTTGATCCAAAGTCCATGGAAGTTCATAGGAGTCTTTCAATGGTCTTTGAATCAGACCCTGTTTTCAGAAATCTGAAGTAGCATATTGTAATGCATTTTACCACTGTGAAATGAACCTACCATACAATTTCTTATTTTTAGTGTCTGATCCAACTCCAACTAAAATCATCAGGAGATTCTATTGGAAGTTAGATCAGGCGCCTAACAGTCACTTTCGGACATCTAACACAGAGGCGAACAATATAAAATGCAGCTATCAATACTTTAATTAAGTCACCTTTCTTCTGCTCATATTTTGACACATAATGAGCATTCAGCAGCAGGCTGACAATGCTTGCAGCACATCAGCCTTAAGAAAAACAACAAGATTATGATTTAAGACTGCAAACATACATGCCAGTATTTATAAACTCTGGATAAAGGTGGTCAGCATAACTCACTGTGTTAATCTACTGAGTGCTCCAAATGGGGGTACACCTAACTTCTCAAAGTGCCAATAGAGAAAAGGAAAAAGAGGCTAGAGCGTACATTCCCCATCCCCTCCACCTTTTGTTTTAAAAGTGTGTATGCGGGGTGGGGGTTGGGGGGATCATGACATCTTTTTCCAGTTTGAGCCTTGGATATACTGTGCTTTTGTTCACAGTTTGATTACACTTAGAAGTCTTTGGCTACATCCTACACAATAAGGGGACTTTGTAGAAAAAATTATCATCTAAAACCAAAATGTGTAGTCTTTCATTATATCTCATTTTTAAAACTGTAGAGCTACAAAGATGCTCACTTGAGTAGCCTAGCCAAGTTCCACATCAAGGGAACTTCAAACAGAGTTGGAAGAACATAATTTCTTTTTAGATTTTTTCAATTACTATCCAGCATCCAAAACAACACAAACACAAATGTTAGTAATCTCAGTTCAGAGTAGCATTGTTTGAGGCCATCTACAGACTGCCATTATAACTCATGTAACATCAGCCCTGTGCATTAAATAACGCCTGCTTCAAAGAATCATTCAGACATTAATTATTATAATCAAATACTGCTGGAAGTCCTAAGCAAAAGATAAAACAAGCATGTTTACCTTTTTATTTATGTTCTTCACACATAGCATACAGTGTTTTAGTGTTTTAGACAGAAAACATACAAATATGGCTTCTTAGTCTGATTAGACACCATCAGCTTCAAATAATACCACCAACTAGTACAATTTTAGTTAAATGATATTAAACAGCAATTTTCTCTTCCATCTCAACTGGATTCAGCAGGATCAAAAAAGGTTTTCACATTTTAGCAAAAGGCATTCTTAGTTTTGCCTATCAGTGTTTCCTAAGCTGTTTGCACTAACAAATCTAAGCATTTTCTTCACTCTGGGAGACAAATTTCCAGTGATGTAATATAATTCTTTGGGCAATTATGAAGGCAAACCCACATCTTTTTTGAATGCATTTAGAAGGAAATGTTGGATCGCTCCATAGTCCTAAGAAAAGCAGTTCAGGCACATGTGGGATCTCCATCTGAGGTAACCTCTTTTATTAGTGAGAGAACTTGCTGCCAAGTTGGCAAAGCAGAGACTGCTGTTCTAGAGGTTTACACTCATGTGAGAGTTGATGCATAACATTTTGTCTGAAAAGAACCCTTGGGAAGGTTAATAGCTGAAAATGCCTCAATGGCATCGCACAAAGTCCAACAGTAATAACAGCAACGGAATGTTGTAAGTTGTTACATTACACTAGCCAAGAAATCAAGACTGAAAAAAAAATCTTAGCACACACACACATGTAGGATTTATACTAATATTAGTATGTTTAAGCCTTGATCATTTATACCTCAAAGTTTAAATTCAAAAGTGATGGGCTCCATTTGTTGTAAAAAGAAACCTTGTAAAAATTCACTAGTAATTGAAAGAAATTGTGGACTAGTATTTACATAGAAAGACTGTCCTAAACCATAAAACTTTTTTCAGAAGTTTTAAGACTTTCGTCCTAAGCAGAAATTTAGAATAAAGGTGATTGTTTCTAAAATACTCTTGGAAAAACGTAGGCCCCTATCCTGTAAATACCTATGCATGTGCTACCTGTACACATTCACATTATTTAACAAGACTACTCATGTGCATAATTTTAAGCACATGCATAAATATTTGCTGGATTGGGGCCTTAATCCTGGGCTACCCCAACAGAGATAATATATATTAAAATTATTTTACTTTAGCTTTGTCCTATAGCCACATACAACTGTCCTGTATATTTCTTAATTCTTAATATTTCTGCTCATAAAATGCAGAAACAGAATAAACACTTTAATAAAATAATAGTTAATTTATTTGTATCAGTTTATGGGGTAAAAGGATAACTTCTTACTAAAAATGTTAAATAATATTTTTTACATTTATTTCAATTTCTTTTTTAAAGGGAGAGAAGATCTTAGTATTAAGTGAGTCCATTTGTAACACTGACACAAACAACATATTCCTTCCTTTAGGGTTTTTGGATTAATTCCTTCCCTAGTAAATCTTTTTAATAGTTTTAACAGCAATCCTAAAATATATGCCAATTATGTGCTCTAATGTAGATCTGTGAACTGGGTTATTTGGTTTGGAATGGCTTGCCTCAATAAAATAAGGTTTAACTTTTTAATGTACTAGCTAACTGATCACCAGTACTTGTTAGAAGAAGCTAGAGGAAGAACTGACAAGATGTTTATTTGTTTTGCTGGGGGGAGGAGCAGCAGCCACAGCAGCACCCTGTAGTTGTACTAGTAATAATAAAGAAGGGTGAAAGCATTCACTTCAAAAACAACCTGGTCTGTTTTACATTATTCACTAGGGGATTGAGCACAACCTGGAGACACACAATGCTTTTTTTCTGCTTCAAATCTATTTCTCTCTGAAAACAGTATTAACTAAATGCTTATATTCAAGTGAATTTCTTGCACTTTGGAAACCGGAAGACTGTGTCTTATACATTATTGGCTTGTTAGAATTACAGAAGCTAACCTGCCTGACTAAATAGAAAGGAGCACACATTTCTGGTCTGGTTAAGATTCCGAAGTCTAAAAAGCAAAACCTGCAACTAAACATTTTTCAGAGTCAGAGTGAAAGGACGCTAACAAGATAAGGCCACAGTCCTTTTCTAGGGCTCCATATGGGCACCTGGATCTGCCCATGCAGAGCCCTTTGAAGCACCCGGGTTAAGAGTGCATTAACAACGTTGCCACACAACAAGAAGCAATAGACAGTGGATGCTGCGACAAGGTGCAAGTTTATTGAACGTATCACTAGAAAAAGGTTCAAACAACTGACATTTTCCTCAACTGTAACCTCTTCTCCACCAGCTTTGCTGATTCTCTAGTCTGTTCAAAATGCTGCAGCAATAATTATCCCCCTCTCCCTCCTAAGTCTACCACAAAGGCTTCGTGATGTTTGTAAGAGGAGGCAGTAGCCACTGTCCTCAATCCACCCCAGAAGATTACATAAGAGGAGGGATTCCCAAGCTAGTTGAGGACAAGAGCCTGAAAAGGGAAAGGAAAGGACGGGTCCAGGAACGGTTATGGTTTCAGGTGGAAACCATGTAAAAATAGCCATTTTAAATGCTTTTCTTTTTGAGATTTTTGGTGTTTATTCAAAACCTAAACTCCAAGTTGTAAACCTCTGTGATCCAAAATCAAAGAAGCTATGATTAAATGACCCATATTTGTGCAGCTGTACAACTGCTATTTGTAGGACAAATAATCCCAGGTCCTTCTCACCTGGACATCATGAAAGGGGTAATCTTTATGGACAGAAACTGCCCTTGAATGACTCCTCTAATGTCTTTTGCTTCATCACTCCATGAACCCCCTGGGGAATTAAATCCAGATAGACTGCATGGAAATGCTTGCATAGGTATTGTAAGCAGTTGATCAGGAATTTGTCTAATCATCTCTCTGCCAACAAGTTCCTCAGATCCATAATCCACATGTCTCACAGTTAGGTTGTTACCTTTTATGCTGCTAACTTTTGCTCTGTAAAGTTTTCCATCTTCACTATACTTTGCCATGCAAATATCACCACTTCTAATACTAGATTTGTTAGGCACAAATAAACTCCTCTTCAACACAAAGGATGCCCGTTTTCTTTTGCCATCTGTGCCAGCCATTTCCCATTAGTAATCATTGTACCATTCTGTGAAGCAGTTTCTGTGCAAAACCCTCTTACGTAGAGTGATCATATGTCCCTGAAAATCACACATCTGTTTCCACGGTCTGTCCCACTGTCCTTGCTGTTTTTACAAAATCCAGTGTTTTCTCCCAGTTTTTGTAAACTCCCGCAGTCCCCATATGCTTCCCAGTGACCCCTCCCTCTGCAAAAGTTTGCAAGCCAGTTTTACCCTGAATGCAGTGAAATCCACAGGATGGTGGGGAAAGAGAGGCTGAGGTGAGAGCCAGACACCTGGGAAAGAATTATCCGTAGAAACTCAGCACCCTCTCCATCTACTGCCCCATCGCCAGCTGTTGGAGATATTTGCCACAAGCTTTTCAATCAATGTTAAAAATACTATCATTTCCTTATTGTCAAAAAGGCGTAAATCAGTATTTGATATCTGTATTTAAATATACTGTCAGCAACCAAACCTTGTCCACACAGCACAGACTCATGGAGTCAATCCTGGCTCCATTCAACTCAATAGAACAGGGGTGGCCAACCTGAGCCTGAGAAGGAGCCAGAATTACC